CCACATGAGTCGGCTGTCAAGTCTTCTTTTCGTAGTCTCACTTCGAGCATGGAAGACTGGAATCCCCTTTCTTATATCTGTTAGGGTCAGAGTGACAGTTGTTTTACGGTTTACGAGCGACAATCAACAAATAACCAAAGTAAAAACAAAGGGGTTTAAACAAGGAAAAGCGGACATGCATGGTGTACTCTCCTATAAAAAGCAGCGTAATCAGAAGAGGTGTATCGATATTAATTGTACTAGCGTTGAAACTTTCTAATGGGTATCTTCCCGCATCTACCGTTAGACCCACGCAAATCCTTTATACAAAGTCCTCCAAGCTCAGCAGCGCAACACAAAGCAGGCATCCCAGGGCGACCACCGTCCCCGTGACCTCCGGCCTCTTCAACCACATGACTATAGCCTGAGACAAGTCCTTCGGCACAGTCACATCATTCTTCTCCCCATCTGCCCCGTTCTCCTTGGCCGATGCGTGATGCTGTGGTTTTGGCGTCTGCCTAGTCTCGCCATATCTCAGGGCCTCTATATCGGTGCCTAACTGTTCATCTAACTCATAGACGAGCTGTGCGCTGCGGACGAAAATCTGTTTCGCTTCTTCGATGACGTCGATGCGCTCGTCTTCTGTGAAGAAGGTCTCTGCTTCGGAGAGGCGGAGCTTGAACTCGGATTTGATGTCTTCGCCGTCGAAGGCGCCGTCGAAATGCCAAAGGGAGAGTCCGCGTTCGCTTAGAGGTACTGCAGGCGTACCCTCGTTGCTGTCTTCTGCTAGTATGGCAGCGCGCCAGAACTCAGGCGTAGCCTTCAAGAGTTCTCCTCTTATCCATCGTCCACCCGAGAAGACGGCCATATAGTAACACCACGCGTACGCGACGAGTGTGTGTGGTTTCCTCCCTACTACACTCCGGATATGCGCACAGTACTGTGCAACCTTATCCCCGGGGTACTGTGCCAACAGCACGCTAAGATCGGTACTCGTCAGCCCAGTCAGGGCCTCTAAATCGCCCTTCAGTCGCGCCGAGCGCGTCAGCCCCGTTGGCCTCAAATCTCTCAGGAAATCTATCATGCGCAGTGTCGGTGGCGAAGAAATGAAAGAATGCGGATCGCTCGTGTCGTAGGGGTTTACGAGGAGGAAAGAAAGGAGGGGCGAGGTGGGCGGAGGAGAGGTTGCTGAGGGTACAGGCGTGAGGTCCGCCCATAGTGATTCGAAGGTCAGGAAGATGTGTGCAAAGTGGATGAGGCCAGTTATGTAGGGTGTAGGGTCGGTCGCGTGCGGTGGGAGGGATAGAGGGAGACGTGAGGTTATGAGACGGTTTAGGTTCGTGTGGAGGGATCTGCGGCCGTCGTGTTAGATGCTTGTACTGTGCAGAGGTGGTCGGGTTGGAGGGGCATATTTCGTACCTTGTCGCCGCATTAATTTCGCCCGAGAGCGTCGTCGGCTGCAGTGTGTCGTTCACCATATCGTCCTTATTCATATAGTGCAACTATGGATGTCGTGTCTAGTAATACTCCAAAAGAAAAGTGATAGGTTTCAACGACTAGGAAAGACGGCCGATGGCTTGCTTTATAATACAAAGGGTAAGTCGAACCCAGTGCCAGGTCGTCGCAGGGTTGTCGTGGCTAAAGACCCTTCTTCACGCGCACAAATGTGGTGTGGTTGCCTGGTGACTGACTGTTTTGTTGTACTATGATGATTCACGTGTTGCGGTTGTAGCGGGTGGTGCTGGATGTATGCGTGGCATGGCGTATGAGCGAAGAGTGCAGGTGAGCAGGTATCGTGCAGGATGATGCAATCTAAGGGACTAAAGTTAGAGACAGCCGTCTCAGAATGTTGAATAATTAGTTGGACTTTGCTAGTTCCGGAAGTGTCGTGAGAAGGCGATACGATTTGCCAGCGTGGTGATTGAAGTGGGATGCGATAAAAGGACGAATCAAAGTGTAGATGTTCTTGAGTGACGTCATCGGATCGATAACAGCTCACGTGTTTTGGCGTCCATCAAAGTGCTCGTTCAGGATTAGTTCAACGCGAAATCGAGGTCACGTTTTACAAAGTTTGTGTTCTTGTGTGCATCACAGTGCACAGTGCTAGCTTCCAAGTATCTCATCGTGGTATTATTATTCCATTACAATATCAACCTCGGAAATATAGATCGAAGCTCCTTGACGCGATAGATGTGTAATTTCAACCAACCGGTATGGTATGGAAGAGCTAGTAAATTCTTGTCGCGCCAAGTTTAGGGGAGTTGTTAATAAATAACTATTCTGTTCGTACATGGAGAAAAAGTACAGTTATTAGAACAGCCGCTATTACACATGTAATTCTAGCTGCTGAATGAAACCAACGCTTACATATACAATCAATTACCATAGTCTGTTGAGATAGAGCGGAAGGTTGTAATTATTAATCATGCATGAATCCTCAATCGCATTCAGAAACCTTCCCAAACGCCATGGAAGAAAATGAAACTGCTCTCTCTATATACATAACATCACGGGCACGGGGGTGCCATTCTTGAAACCCATGCAGGGGTATTCAAGGCGTATATACATAGTCCCCTGGGATGGGGAACTGTATGTAAGAGCAGACTCGAGGCTATATAGATTTAAATTAGCCTCTACAAAGTTTAAACGCTGTTAAAAGCACCGACTTATTACACTTGCGACTTCTTCTAGCGACGGGGTCGGCTTGGGCTTGCCAGCCAGGGGGGAAACAAGATCTCGAGTCAGTCACGTAGCAACAACGTATGGTTGGTCACTATGTGGCCTGTTACTCTTATACAACTGCAAACTATATTCTGGAGTTGCTATTGCCATGGTTCCTCTTGACTCCAGCATTGAGCATGCCGTTGGAAAAAGGTCTTTTTTCGGTCTTGCGGAGGGACGCGATGGCGAATTTGCGGGCTCTGTTTGTATCAGCTAGAGAATTGAATTACATATCAGAAAGAACTCATACTTGCTTCTTACCAGTGATGTTTGAAGGCTGATGTTCGATAAGCCACTCCTTGAACTCATGAACTTACCGACTGTATAGAGATGGTCATCGTCCTTCTTGGTGCACCGTGCAAGCGTCCCCTTAACAAATCAGATCTTGCCGCCACGGCGACCCACGCGTTCGGACTCATCGTTGGCGCGCTGGGCCTAGTTGTCGCCACACCGAGTCTCTTCATCAGTGCGCCCAGCCCTGCGCTCAGCCCTTTCCATCATGTGTAGATGGCGCTCAGCCAGCGGGATCCAACGTCTGTCCATTCTGTACCAGTATCAGCATGTAACTGTACTAGTAGATATGCGCAAAACCACACTCCCAGGCGTTGGCAAGTCCAGGTACTACCCGTCGGCTTTGCCGGCTACACAGTAGGGCTGCGGGCAGCACAGTCGCCGTAGGAATATAATCTAACAGATCAACGGCTAGGACTTGACCTTCGAGATTTGAACTCAAGACCCTCGAAGAACCCCGCCGCAGTCTGGAGAAGAAGCCGCTGGACCAGAACCGTCAGAAGTGACAGAGGTCAAACCAGGACAGTAAGATGATGGTCCTTGCTGAAATCCGATGGTGGAGTTAGAAAGCCGACGATATTTACTCAAAAAGGATTCTTGGACCGTGACGCAAGCAAGCAAGCAAGCTTTGGGTTGGGTTAGGGTTACTACCTTGGCATGGGGACCTATAATCAATTCCACTTTCTTAAGTGCTACCTACCATAAGTAAGCGCCAGGAAGATCGATGCATGCATACTCGGTTTGATTAATCAGTATAGGTCGGTCGGTCCCATTGCACCCACCGGTCCCATTCTTTTGTAGACTTATTATCTCTTCTCTTTCACGCCATCCACCCATATATCAACTTTCTCGTTGTAAAAGCACAAATGTCCAACGATCGGCGCACTCTCTGCTGTGGGGTACACGTAGTACCAAACCAGGTCTGCATACTCCTTTCCGTTGACATTCACATTGTAGTAGTTCGCCTTGCCTTTATACGGACAGTATGTCTCCGTCTTGCTTTTGGTCAGATACTCCCACTTGACGCTGGTGGGTGGGAGATAGTATCGTGTCCTAAGTGTTGTTTCGAGTAGGAACAAGGGATTCGAGGTTTCCGCCAGGGTGACGCCGTCGAGCGAGACTTTGACCGGACGGGTGGAGTTTAGGATGTCGATTCGCTTGTATGGATCCTTTGGGTGCAGGTGGATTGGGACGTCTTCTTCGAACCATTGGTCCAGCTCGGGAAAGTCGACTTTGACGAGATCCTTTAGCGGAGAAGTGCTGAAAACGATCACTCGCTCCGTTGTCCTGTCTCCGACGGATAGCTGGGCGAAGTGTGCACCACCGTTTGTGCCGTCGATTTTGGACGTCTTTGTGAGCGTTGCGTCACTTGTGAAGCTCGCAATCGGGATGTATAATCTAAATGGGTTAGTATTTCGAGAACCATCTGGCCTCTTCGCTGTGGCATGGATTCTCATACTGTGGGTAGTTAGGATGCTCCCAAACATGGTACGCGTTGATCGTGTCAAACGCGTACTTTCCATTCAACAAGCCCCGAACTCGACGCGGAGTCTCTTGGAACTTGTGGGGTCCTTCAGAGGTAAGTTTTTGAGCAAGCTTTGTGAGACTACTCGATGCGTCAGAAGTCATTCTTCACGACTTTCCAAAGATTCCTGTACTCGCTGGTGGAGGCCATGTTGAGAAAATGTCGTGATTGTTCGAAGATTTGATTCAGGGTGGATGAGTCACTTTATGGGTAGGTGAGGCGGGAGAATTGAGAGATGAAAATGGTGCGGGCATGATGGGGTCATCAATATAGGAGTCGTGACGATGATGGTGAGAGAGGGGTTGCTTCCAACGGCAAGTATTAGCGAGCTCTACATTTGTCATCCATTAGCTCCTGTAAGCTACAGCTTGTCAACAACTTAATCTCAACCGACGTGTTCAAAACCAGGCTTGGTAATCACGTCTTGTATACAAATCTGTGTACAGATTGGCAAAGAAGTAGTAGTAAATCTGTATACAGACTAGGCAAAAGAAGTAGTAGTAGTAGTGATAATATATATAGAAAAATCGTGAAGGTGTGTATATCTCCAACAGACATATATCCAGGTGGCACTTGAACAGCGAAGAATAAATCTTCCCTTCCGTTCCTCCTCCCGTTCCCGTGGTCGAACACCGGGGGACAAGAGCACACATTCCGCCTTTGCTGCTGTCCTGTCCTGTCCTGTCCTGTCCTGTCCACACTGGGTGGTGATATACGATTACAATGGCAAGATATTCGATGAATGCCCTTGACATCTCCTCGGAGTCCACAACAGCTCCCCCCCCCCCCCCCCCCCCCCCCCCCCCCCCCCCCCCCCCCCCCCCCCTTAAGAAGCATCGTGCTCGCCCTCGACCTTCGGACCGATCCTGTGATGCTCACCCATGCCCGGTTTGAAATCCGTAGCATCGGGTCTGAACTTGATCTTCCCCGCATCTTCACTTCCTCCCCCCCTTACACTCCCCTGTCTGTCCCCCGTCGCTGCTTGCCTCGTCTCCTCGCGGTCATTCACAGAGGCAGACGAAGACGCATCAATCAACTTCCCCCCATCATCCGCAGAGGCAGCAGACGAAGACTCACCCACCAACTCCTTCGAGCGTGCTGTATATGCATCTCCCTCGCATTTGACGTTATCTTTACGATAATAAGGATCATTGTCATGCTCGGAGGGGGTATTGCCCCATTTAAAGCCATCGCCGATGCCCATGATGTAAAGCCGGGGTTCCGGGGTTTGGCCGCCAGACATGGTGATGTTGTTGTTGTTGTATACGAGATACGAGTGCCGAGCAACGAGTTCGTGTAAGGTGGTGGTGATGGTGGTGGCTAGCTGTTTGTTGCGAGAGAGAGACTGAGTGCTGTTTGTTGCGAGACTGGGTACTGTGGAGTTGTGGTGGTTGCGGGGGAAGATCTTACCAATGATATATATATGTGAATATATATATGTAGGGGGAAAAGTGTGAATGAAGGTTATGGTTCTTTGATTCGGGGTATGGAAGAAAAGAAAGAGTGAGTGAGTGATTGAAGGGTATATAAGAAGAGGGGATGCTGTGCCACGATGTAAATACTGTGAACTGAAAACCGTAAATGAAAAGTGTTCTTGGATTCTGAACAAGAAACCGTAAACTGAACCCCAATATCACACACAATCTCCAAATGTATGTACTCTAGTGGATCTTGAAGGAAACAAAGGGTATACCACCAATCCGTTTTTATACCCCTGATCATACAGTCATCGGCCGCATACAGTCATTGGCAGCATACAGTCATCGACCGTGATTTATCAGAACCACAAAGCTCCCGTCAAGAAGCCATATTTCCACATTCAAATCTCATCCTTGCTCCACGCCATCTCCTCGTCGTCGTCTTCGTTGACTGGCCTGTCCACCAACTCTCCCTCCTCGTCCCAACCCAAAGCTTTCATCGGGCCCTCGCTCTCGCGATACCACTCCGTATTCTCGGTCCACTCGATGATGGTCTCTTTCGCATGCTCGCTCATACCATAGTAGCCTGGATTATTGCGGGGCTCAAACATGCTCATATGTGCGAGAGTCTCCGCCGTGCTCTTATCGTTGACGCTCGGGACAAAGAATTTCTTCAACTCCCCCTTGGGAAGATTGCAGAAAGTGCGATCGTGGCCTAACACTTGCTTGGCGTATGAAGATTTATCTTCATCTTGCACCGCGTGGCCGAGGGTCGTGTAGATGTTTGTGAAGCCGATATTCTGAGACTCGGCGAGCGTCGCGACACTGGCAAGCCGCTTCTTCATGTCCTCTGGCCGCGCAAGACTGCCCACGAATTCGAGATGTGACGTCGCCCAGTTCCAGCCTTCGGAGATCTGATCCCGCTTCATGTATGCTGCCGCGCCGCCTGCGGCAACTGCACCGGCAGCTCCTGCGAAAAGAGCAACTCTGCCATATCTCTGCCACAGCGGTGCAGATGCGGCATCGGCATTAGAATCGCTGACCGCTTTTGCTGTTGTCTCGGGTGCAGTGATCATCTTGCTTGCGTCCACCGCCCCAGTTTCGGCATTCTTGCCCCAGAACGTGCCCATGATATTCGAGTATGCAGAGTAAGCAGTGTTGGCCGTATTCCAGTGCTTCTCAGCTCCATGTGCTACAACACCTGGTGCGATTCCTAGATAGGGTGTGTCGAATGCGAGAATACCCTGGATATAAGGAAACATCAGCAACGAGGGATCGGAAAGGGAGGTAGTTGGGTCCGCATCGGAGTTCTGTTGCGACTGGATGGGTTGCTCGTTGATGATGGAGAGGAGGCTCTCAGCAGCCACGATGCCGCCCATCGAGTGGCCGACTAGGACAGTGCGAATGGAGGGGTCGACGGTGGGAGAGGGGGTGTGGTTGGCGACCTCGAGGTCGATAACTTTGTCTTGGAGCCTACACAGTAGATGCATCAGTATGTTTCTTATATTCGACGTATCGAGTGCGATGTAGACACAACGCTGCGTCTATTACTCACCATTCCTTGAACCTCGCCACGCACTCGTGCAAATCGCCTCTAGTCTCGAATTTCGGATATGTTATGGCTAGCACGGTGACCTTTGGTAACGCATGCTGGAGGATAGCCTTGAGGTGTGAGGGGAAGGTCGCGAAGGTGTCTTCGCCGCCCTATAGACGCGTCAGCTTTCTCAATACCGTCCATTCTTTTACGTGTGTCGCACGCATGCGGGCTTGACATAAAAGCTTATTGGGGTAGGGTACCTTGAATCCATGAATAAAGCACAGTAGCAGCGTCTTCTTCATCCTGTCCCTCGACTGTATTCCTGCATGGCATGAGACATGGTGGGGCGAAACTTGAGCTGAGGCGCGAGTGCGGTGACGGCGTGGGAGTCCGCACGGGTTACTTCGTCACTAGTGCTGCGACACGTGATTGGTTGAGAGATTACTTGACGATTCTGGAAGGCTTGTATACACAGTAAGTATGCACAACGGAAACCAAGGTAATAGATATGATTTTGATTGTGAAATCACCGAGGACGTGGTCATCTGTATGCATTTCAAATTGTCCATCTCCATGTAGCTCAATTGCTTCATCTCTACGCATGTCGAATTGCCCATCTCCCAATACCACCTCGGCCCTACATAGTGAATTCGTTTCTCACCCGATGTAATTACTGATAAATTTTACATATTACTGCAGCGGGGTATGCACGTAAATCACAATGTCACGGCAAGCACATGTTAAGCGTCTCTGGTTATAGTTATAAAGCCCAACCTGAATGTATACCACTTGCTCGTTCCTCGCTACGCAATGAATGTATACTGCTTGCTCATTCCTCGCTACGCAATGAATGTATATTGCTTGCTCATTCCTCGCTACGCAATGAATGTATATTGCTTGCTCATTCCTCGCTACGCAGTGAATGTATCCTGCCACCAACCACGCAGTGCCACAACGCTTGAAGCAGTACCAGATTCAGCGTGGGCGAGGAAAACGGAACAAAAGGAATGTTTCCTGGCATGCACGGACGGCACTGGACGAAGCAGAGAAAAGGATACAACAGCGGATTTTCTTCCTTGGACAATTGGAATGTCAACTTACATTCTTTGCAGAGTCTATAAAGAGATGGTGGACGGTCTGTGTTGAAGAGTATTTTTCTTTCTTTCTATTCTTCCTTTCCTCATCTCAATTCACATCCCATTGTCTGCGCTTTAATACTCGACCGTCCAAGTAAAGAGAGCATCATTATTACCCTGAAACTAAAGCACTATAGATACAATGCCTCCTAGCATTCCAAAGACATGTCGTGCCATCGTCATCGAGAAGCCTGGCGCGCCGTGGGCTATCAAACAAGTTCCCGTCAACTCGCCAGAGTCGGGCGAGGTCCTGGTAAAGGTTGATGCATGCGGTATCTGCCATACGGATTGTTTCATGCGAGAGGGTGGATTTGGAGACGCGTGAGTAGCATCTTGATGTAATGCTCAGTCTATTCAATGATGTTGATTGCACTTTGTACAGTGCATCCTTTCCTCGAATTCCCGGCCATGAGATCATCGGTACCGTGGTTGCGGTTGGTGAGGGTGAGAAGAGGTGGAAGGAGGGCGACAAGATTGGTGGAGCATGGCATGGTGGCCATGACGGAACGTGCAAGGCGTGCAATCGGGGCCTATTCCAGATGTGCGAGAACGTGGTGGCTAATGGGGTCTCCCGCGATGGTGGATGTAAGTAACAAGTTGCGTGTCTCCGTGACGACGCGACCGAGCTGACGTCGTTTGGGATATATAGACGCAGAGTACTGCACCCTCCGCTCTGAAGCGGCAGTTCGCATCCCACAGGACGCTGACCCAGCCGAGTATGCTCCACTCCTCTGTGCCGGTGTGACAGTGTTTAATGGCATCCGCAAGATGAACATTGTGCCTGGCGACATTGTTGCCGTGCAAGGCCTCGGGGGCCTCGGTCATCTGGCTATTCAATACGCACGAAGAATGGGCTATCGCACGGTGGCGTTATCCAGCAGTGATGCAAAGAAAGATTTCGCCAGAGAGTTGGGTGCAACCGATTACATCGACACGAGTAAAGAAGATGCAAGCTCGGTGTTGCAGAAGATGGGCGGTGCGTCACTGATCGTCGTCACGGCCCCAAACCCAAAGATGATCGGGCCTCTGGTGAAGGGTTGTGGGCCATTGGGCAAAGTGCTGATCCTCGCCCGTAGGTTTTGCCCCATAAAAGACGTTTTGAGCCGAAATCTGATTTGTTATTAACTTATACATAAGCGGTGGGTGAGATTCCAGTGGATACCGTCACGCTGATCATGAAGGGTGTGAGTGTCCACGGCTGGCCTGCCGGGCATGCCTTGGACTCGGAAGAGGCCATCAACTTTGCTGAGCACCAGGGCGTAAAGTGCATGGTTGAGAAGTTTCCGCTTGATAAAGTTGAGGACGCGGTCAAGCATATGGTACGTGTCTTGGGGCTACAATTGATGGGGGGGGAGAGAAAAGGCTAACTCAACCTATCAGACGGACGGAAAGGTCCGCTTCCGCGCCGTCATCACAATGAACTAGTAAAGGAGAAGCGAAGTATTTGCGAAAGAAGGATGTTTTAGGAGAAAGGTAGCTGAGGAATTGAACGGGTTGTGGTGATGGACCAATACAGTAGGAAGAGAGTGGAGGATGGGTTATATGAAGGAACAGTATAAGAGAAACAGTTGAAACAAGAACATTCATGCGTTTTCTACCTGTGAAGTCTGCCCGTGTCTGATTTTCCTTGGTGTAGTGGGTGTAGTGGGTGTTGCGGGTGTAGTGATGTGGCAATAGACCGAGGAGGCGGGCCTTTTACGCCTATTACGCCTTTACGCCTTTATGCCTTTATGCCTTTTACGCCTTTATCGCAGGCCATGTCGGTACCTGCATATTATTGCTTGTTGCAATACAAAGATAACTACGGAGTAAGTAATTGGTATACGTAGGTGGTCGTTATATGGCGTTGGACGGCCAATTAGGTTTGAGAAGATGATGGCTGTAACTGGTAGTGTGAAGTGCTACACATGTGTGACCTGGGAGTTCAGTGTGCCGGCCTCATTATAGGCTGTGACGTGCCCCCCGTGACTGCATACCATACTCCGCATTAGGCATCACTCGTGCTCAGCATCTTCAACATGTTCAACATCATCTCCTGTTCCGGACGAGTGTACCTATCATATTACAAGGATTCATAGCCTCTCGAGCGCCTCACACCTTGTCCTGTGTAATAAACCCTCGTCCATCAACGCCGCTTAAAAACAAGCTCGGAGCTGAAACACGTCGCTCGCTGACTTCAAACACCTTGGCAGGGGTTACAAAGGGGAGGGGAACCTTGAGATGGGTGCATGATATACTATGTATGTAGGTAATATACCCATCATTGTACATACAGTACCATCTGCCTTGAGGCATGAACGACAGTCCATCATTACTATTACGACGATCATACCCTCACCCTCTCTTTCAGACTTCAGACTTACCCCACCCGGGTGCCTGCGCTGGCCGTATTACCTCCCTCTCTCTCTAACATATACACGATACGTACTACTACATACTCGTACAACTCGTACATAT